GAGAATCTATATTTTGCTAGAGATTAAAACCCTCTTCCCCACTCTGTAATTCAGCTCTCACCATGCAAACATACCTGTGCCATGCTACAGTGACTCCCAAGGCATCATTGGAAGATTTGTGAGCACCTTATCTGTATTCCTAATCTCCCAGAGCTTCTCTTTATAATATGTTATATGAAAAACTTCTGTGGAATAAGCAATTCTGTGCTCATCCTTCCTGCTAAAACTTGTTGCACCTTCTGTATCATCAGACTGACCACAACTGCATGGCTATGCTATCTTATGAAGGGTCAAAGACTGGATATGAGTTTGCCCATTGACCTTTATACCACTGATTTTAAACACCCTATGTTTTTCAAAGTATGTCCCAAACTGAAGAATCCCATTCATAATCTGTAAAGCCAACGTTTCTAATCCGCATCATACAGTCAGAGAAACTGAGTCATTAGTTGTTTAAGGAACTTCCACTTTCCCAAAAGAGGAACTGTCATTTAGAGAACCTTCCTCTCAAATCCACCCAAACACATGAGGTTGACATGGGCTGAGCCCTGGTATTACTACCAAGAGGGGAAAGCACATCTTTTATGCCAACCCTGTGCAAAGTCAGCGTTAAAGATACCTATGTTCATGGATGCTCCTTGAGATACTGCAAAGCAGCAATGTCTTGGAAATGTCAGGGCTGCAGTTCAAACATGAGATGGACGTTAAAGTTGACCTTACTGTCCATTTAACAAGAGAGCTCCAATTTGGCAGCCTGCTCAGAAAGGAAGGACTCCTGCGTGGCAGCCGTTTATGTAGCTCCCACGTTTCTTCCACTCTAGGCAGACTAAATCCCTAAAGACAAGTAGAAAAGCAGTTTCTCCCACCCCAAGCATAGAAAGCGGGCTTCTACATGAGACACCTGGACCTCCAGCCACCTGCCACAGAATTGCCAAGAGGCTCATGCAGGGCCTCAGCAGTACCCTGGGTTTCAGGAACACAGGTGCAGACCCTCATTCCCTTCCACACCATCCAGGCTTAGCAATAAACTTCCTGTTCCCCCATTAATAAGCCTATGCCACGTGTTTTGGTTTGGTGGGGGGTTTTGTTTATTTGGGGGGAAGAGGGGAAGGATGGGGGTTGTGTGTTTGGTTTTTGGGGGGGGGATCTTGAGGAGGGTTGGTCAGTTGTTTGGTGATGGCTTGGTTTGTGGTGGTTTTTTTAATAGCTCACCTCATTTCACACTTGCCATTTCAGCCTGAGGGTTGGGACCCTGTTGGCAAGAGCTGAATAAGTTCATACGAGTACATGCCTGACAAACAGGCCTCCCTTCTCTCATCCAAACAAACCAAGCTTAAGGCAATTCCCACCTTGCAGGCATCACACCCAAAGGACAACACAAATAGAAACAGCCTTGCAAGCAACAGCAAACATCCAGGATCGAAAGGAGTGTGACTTGGCTTTCTTCAGTAAAAGAAGTGTAACCTCCCCTGAGGTCAGATCCCACATGAACATGGGCTTATTATCAAGGAACCGAAAGAGGTGTTGAAGAAGCACCACTAGCCAACAAAAAAACTCTCATAGCCCAAACCACACTTACACTTGGCTCTGTGCATCTACCTGTCCCTAGCTCTTTACCCAGTCCCAACATTCCTATATGTCTAGAAGCACCACCAGCCTCCTGCCAGGCAGCTACCCCTTCCACGTTACAGGTGCTCTTTGTTTCAGGAAATAAGCAGTGGGTTATTTACATGGTTGATTCATTTGGTTTTTTTGCCTGATGGTTTTGGAAATAGCAGGCTTAGCTTGGCTTCTATCAAGTTCCACAAGAAATAAACCATGACACTAAGAAGGATCCTTGTACTTACTACATAGATTCAGAATTTTGCTCATGAGCTGTTCATACAGTGGCTATGGGGTGTCACACAACATCAGCATCAAGCTCCAGGATCATTTAAGCCTTGGATGAAGTTCTCCCCAAATCCTATGGTGTGTAAGTTAACATCACAGTAAGGCTTCCAGCTGGGAGAAATTTAATGGTACTGTTTTATACAGCACATCTCATTAACAATAAGTAATGCATTGGACAGAAGAAAAATATCTACCCTGTGTATACTGAGCTAACAAGGTCACACATTCAGATGTTAATATTTGTATAGTGTCATGCTGAGCTAGAAAACCTCCTGGAGAGTATTCTGTCCCTGCATTACACGGATTTGTAAGAAAGACAGCCAAAAGTTGAAGGACTCTATGTACAGCTTAGAGTCCAAACCAGAGTCTAATGAAGCTGTGAAAAGCTAGGATGTAAAAATAAGATAGCCAAATCAGGTAAAGAAATTAAGTACCCAGAAGTACTGGATCTGCAAGCCTAGGAATCAACAGAAAAATTTCTTTCAAGTTTGCCCTTCCCAAATGGGAACATCAGAATAAACGAGGTTACCTTTTTTTCCTGCTTTTGAGTCCCTTCAGATCCATTTACATTTTATCCCCAGCCATATGCACAAAAAATGCCATCATCAGCCTAAGTTCTGACCTCTGATTTTGAGTGACTGATTCAGGAGTATTTGGAGTTTTACAGCAATCTTTTTGATACATGTGTCTAGACCCTTGTTTAAACTTCTTTAGAGTTTGTTTGGGTGCATGCTCAGAAGTCAAGGCACTCCTGCAGTCCTGCTCCTTAGTTGCAATCTGGAAAGGACATACTGACAGCACAGTGGTATTGCCATACCAATAATCCAAAGAGTGTGCTTCCAAGTGTAGTGTTCTACAGGATAAAAAGGTTGGGGGAGTGGGGGGACAAAACAAAAATCCCCAAACCAACCAAAACCCAAACACTACAGCCAACTTTAAGCTATTCTCTGGAAAAAAAGAAAAATATTAAAAGTGGAGCCAGATCAGACCAGGCTGCATGCCTACTGCACCACTTAAAAAAAAACCACTCTTGGGAGCAAGGCTCTGGGCAAGTTCCTGAAGAGATATCTCTATAGGAAATGCAAAAGAATAGACATTGCTACCTTCTAAAGCAAAGAGGATTTGAAGACCTATAAGCCAATATGTAAGAAAAAGCACCATTCTTATTACACTGTTGCCTCTTATATGGCAGAGTAATGGAAGTAACTCCCTATATGCAGGTGTTAGACATGTCATACTGCCTTCTAACAGCAAAAGAGCAGGGAGTCAGCTGAGCTATAAGCACATAGCCAGAGCACCTGAGACTAATTGCTAGCTCACAGTTTTGTTATAGACTTTAACTACTAAACTTCCAAACACAGGTATTTATGTGCTTAAGTCTATTACTTTAGTATCACTGTCGCTAAATTGCATGCACAATATATCTGAAACACTGGCTTGAAACCAGAAAGCAGGAATAGAACTAGGTCCTACATCACTTCAGATCCTCCAGTAAGAGTATCTCAGCATTTCTCTTCCCAACTGTAAATCTTAAAATAAAATCAAACACAAGTACATGATAAATCAGTGACAAAATAGAAACTAAACCCAGTTCAGATGCCCTGACTGCATGGGACTTCTTGTCTTCTAAGTGTACAGAACCTTACATTTTCCAGCAATTTGTCCAATTCACTTCTAAATATTTCCCAGAGGGAAAAATATTTAGTGGTCTATTAAGCATTAGTGTTGGGAAAACCAGTTAATATTTCCCCCTGGGGTTAATCTGGACTAAACACCATGAGAATTGCATTTTGACTGAGTAATTCAGTTTCCTTTTACATGATTTCAAAGCACCCATCTCAGCTGAGGTCTCAGGCATCAGCTCCTCACGCATCTTTACCTGGCTTACTGTCTCTCCATTGTATCTGCAAATACAGTCCAAAAGTTACCGAAGTCAACAGAAGAGGTAGTTTAACTTAAAATAAATCTTTTTTTCTATTCTAAGGTTTTAGATTAGCAAAGGTAGTATGGATAAGTTTGCCATGACTCATAAATTTGAAGGATGCATTAGACAGCTATTAGAAAATGTCCTAGGCAGATTTTGATCACTTTTGGTAGCTGAGCATGAAGTATATTAGATTAGCCAAACTTGTTAAAAATAGCCTTAAAAGCCTCTAGTGACCAGGAACTCTATGACATTCCCAGATACTGGCACCACATCAATATCTTTACCACTAGAAGGTTTTCATAAGTGTCTACCATGGCTCTTCCTTCTTAATTCAAGTGCTTTATTTCTCATCCTATCTACATTGCTATGGAGAAAAGTATCTTTCCCCCCTTTCTGCATAAGTCTTGCTTATATACTTTTAAAATGCTGTTGTACTTGCTTTCCAATGTAGTCAGCTTTTTTCCACTCCTTGTTTTGGGGTTATGCTTTCGAGATCTACAATTGTTCTCCTTTGGCATCTCCTCATTGTCCATATATTCCCTGAAACGTACCCAATTGCAAACTGTGCTCCAGCTGTTTCCCCAGGACTTTGTAGAGTAAAGGAGTTATAGCTGACTCTCCTGACACTACATGAGTACTCCTGGTTCATAAATCTAATATTTGTTTATTCTCCTGCAGCTACATAGAAACTCCAGATATTATCTTCTGTTCTTCAAGATCTGGAGCAAGCGGATGAAGCTCTTCAAAACTACAGTAAGGGATGTTAAAAAGAATCACAATTTAAACAAGGGCTTAATTACAAGTCATGATTATCCTTTAAGGAAAAGAAAAAAGAAAACAAACCAAAAACAAAAAACAAACAAACCCCCCAGAACAACCAACCAGCCACGCTTCATCTTTTCATTAACTTATCTGTATTCTGTGTCAGGTCTGTTTTTAAGTACACTGAAGCCTGACAATACCATTGGAAGAGAAAAAGAAAAGAGCTATTCTCTGGAGGCACTATTATGAATAACATGTGTTCCTGGCTGTTTCCTCTGGGCCTATTTTATGAATCAGTCCCAAAAAGCAAACAAGTCATTCAACACTCTCACCACAGGGTCACTCATTGAGCACAGGTTTTTATTTTAGCACAACAGTAACAAACCTAAAAGTTCTAAGATACTCAAAATTTCAGCTTCACACTGGAACAGAGTGATGCTACTGAAACAGAGTTCTCTTCCATACTACAGAGGCAGCAGCATTGTTCTCTGCTTTGTACTGGAGTTGTTGACAGAGGAGCATCTCTCAGTAGTCATTACAGAGAATGAGAAGCCATTTGTTCTCTCCACACCAGCATAGAATTACTAGTCCCAGTGTCTTTCCAATGCTGATGAGGTACTATACACAGGTCCTGCATCACACTAGCAGGACAAAGCAATGGTGAAACTGTTTTGTGCATTTTTCCTCTAGACCATTGCTGTGCACTTCACAACGGCAAGAGTCAAAGCTGCTAATCAAAACAATCTGATGTGGGTTAAAATACAAAAGACAGGATATTAGGCAAAAAAATAAAAGAGGATTGTTTGCAACTTCTCCAAGGCATTTATTTCCACCTTCCTCCACCACTTTGGTTCCGCAAACTTGTGAAGACATGCTGTTGCCTCATAGGTGGTCGTGCTCTTTCTTTACAGGCTTCAATCACCTTTGAGGTGGCTCATAATAGATTTTGAACAGAAAAGGCTAGTACTGGACTACTGTTATTCAATAGAACAAGATAAAGCAAAATAAACTTCATAATTTTTGGTTGCAATGGCCAGAATTATGATCTAGATTCATCTAATTGCACTTGGATCCAGAGAATTAGTTCCACCCATTGTAACAAATGGAACCAATTGCAAAATTTGGATGTGAGTCAGTATTTAGAATCCAATCCAACAGTCAACAGCAGGCTTTGTCACAACTGCTAACATTTAAAGAGTAAGGGAAGAAATAAATGAGTAAAGAGCTGATTTAGCATAAGAACTCTCAGAAATGCTGAAACCCTGCATACCAAGATACCTTCTGATCACTGGGAACAGAAGATTAGAAATAAAAAGTGGCATCAGCCAATATTTTAAACATGTTTGATTAATAATTGAAGGTACTAGGAAGAACACTAAATCACAGTTCTTGCTCTTGGGTGAGCCCCTTTCAGTATCCTGATTGGATTTATAACCTTGGAAATAATTAGGGAGAGCCAATACAAAACCTAAAAACCTTTGCGCAAGCAGTATGACCACCACTTATGCTTTGATATAATTTCATCTATTGCTGGTTCCAAAGACTCCCCTCGCTCCACACACTACCCCAAATGCCATTTCCATCTCCCAGCCTCATGAGGGCATGCTCACATAACCATGCTGTGCTTCCAAATACTACAAGTTAAAAGTTGGGATATTTTGCTTGCCAAATACACTCACAGGTTCTGGAAACTCCAGGTGAGTTGGTGCATTTCAACAAAGTCCACTTTATGCTTCTCCTCCAAACTATTTTCCAAGCTCACACCTACTGTGTAGGAGAAGCAGCAGTAGCCTACATAGGTGAGCACCATGTGCTGATTCAGTTTCCTCTAATAAATCAGACTGGTAACTCAAGGACAAGCAGCGCCATTGTGAGGAGAGGCACAAAGTTCTCACATTCTTCAAGCATGGCAGCAGAAGCCAGGAACGCCAACACAGGGACGGAGATGGACAGCCACATCCCCTCACCTCTTGTGCCCTCTTTGCAGAAGCAAGAATAATCCTATTTACCAAACAGCATTCTAGGGTCATCATCGAGACTTGTTAAAGCCTGCACAGTATTCAAGACCTTTTAAAAGCACAGACTAAAGTTAGAATTTCAAGTCAGCCAGTTCAAACAGTAAACAGGACACTTAGTTTTAACAGGGAAAGGGTAATTGCTCTTTGGCACTGCTGATTGTATGAGATTCTCACTCCAAACAGGAGATCTTTCTACATGCCATGGTTCAGCTGAACCACCAGATACAAGCTGCCTGCAGGAGCATCTGGCTGCAAATCTCTGGCCTGTGCACATTAGTTAATGCCATCCTCCTGAACCCTGCTCTTTCTAGGCAAAGCTATTTTCAAACTAACCTTAAAATCTCTTCCACAGAGCCAGCAGCAGGAGAAAACCCCAGTTAGACTGGAGACTGCTGCTTCCCCCACTCACCAGCATTTCCAAGCATTCACAGAATTAAGTTGGCAGAGAAACAGGAAAAGATGGAGATTTAAAGAATCTTGTAGACACAATGTGACTTTAGCACTAGTTTCCATGCAGCTCAGGCAGCAGATGTTGACACTAGGAGGCTGCCCAATTCTGTTCCACCAGCCCTGTTTGTTACCTGGAAAGAGTGGAAAAAACAAGCTTTCTAAACTGACTATCTAGCTCCCCCAGCCCCTAGGCACAAGGGGAGGGTGGCTCCAAGTTGCTGAAGAGGCTTTTATAGTCAGAGAATGGAAGCTATGAGCAGGATTTAGATGTCAAATCTCCAGAGAAAACTTTGGGTTCCTGTGAACTGGACTACAAAAACCATCAAGCCCTCCAAATTCAAGAAGGACCCTCATTTCTAGGCTTTGACAGTTTCAGCCTTCCTTAAGCCAGAGTCACTTCCTCCCAGGGTGCTCCCACCCCAGTTCTATGTTTGGGAGTTTTGACCTGGTGAAGAGGCAAGTGCTTATGTCCTTGCTGCATGAGTTTTGAAGGACTGAGAGCCATGCAACATGTGTTGATCAAGTACAAATTCAAAGTGAATTTGTCTCGAGTGACAATAGCAATGCCAGAAGGAGGCTGGTGAAAACAAAACAATTACTGCGCCTACAGGAATACAGCAAGAAGATTAGCACCCAAAACTCTCTCAGCAGGCATTGCTTTGAAATGCTTTTGTCTTTTGAGGTTGCCCCCCACCTTTTTATTTTTTTAATGTGTTTAAATTCTAAATTAGGCAACAGCAGAGATCACCATCCACAACAAATTGTAAACAATCCCCCAAATTGAAGGTGTGCTAACAGGGATAAGCCATACTTCCAGACCTGAATCTGTCCTTGAACATGAATGGCTTGTAATCCTGCCTCAAGAGATAAGGCCAGGCTCGGGTCCCTCTTCCAAACATCTCTATTCCAGGCCAGTGAGTAACGCTGGGTGACAGTCAAAAGAGCTGGAGGGCATAATATCCCCTCCTTTTTCATATTAATCCTGCAAAAAATTAAAACACAAATGAAATAAACCATGGGACTCGTAAATCTATAAAATTCAGGGGGTAAAAAAGAAATTACTTGTAACCAAGGATTTTTGGACTGCTGAGAGTGATTTTCCATGCGTGTCTCATGCTTCCTGCATTGGCTGTATGGGCTGAACGAGGGGGAGATGGGGAAAAAACATGAAAAAACAACAGCAAAACACCACTGCTTTCAAGAGCAAGGAAAGCTGCTCAGAACGGGAGGAATGAGATTCACCTGCGCCAGGAGAGGGCGCATTGACCAGCCGCAGCGGCAGCAGGAGCCCCCAGCCCTGCGAGCTCCCATCTGCTGGGAGCGGGAAGGACGGGGGGCCCTGGGCGCCTCCACCTGCGCTTCCCAGGGCGCTCCCTCATCGATTCCTTCGTCCCTGTTTATCCCACACAGCTGGTCATTCATCTTCACTCAGACAGGGCTTTTTTTGCTCTGCTCTTCTGGCTCCATATTAACACCCGGCTGCCTTACGTGACACCATGACCTACTTTTTTCTTTTTCCTCTTCTCCCAGAGAATAGCAAATCACTGCTTCAGTGTGGCTTGCAAGGAGGAAAAGCAAAATTAAGGAGTACTGGCAGAGCAAGCCAGAGCCCTTTTCAAAAATTCATGGCTGTTTGTGAGATGTCAGGCAAAGAGAGGCAAGACCAGCCCAGGCTCCCCAAACTGCACAGCTGAAAAGGAGAAGATAACAGGAAAACTAAGAGAAGGGTCTTGTGTTTTGAGTGCCTGAAATAACTCTACCAAAACTGAAGCAATTTGCCACCTGGCTCCCATAAAGCTTAAATCAGCTGATTTAGGACAAGGGTAAGAAAACAGTGGCAGTGACTCAGGCAAGGGAAGACTGTGGCTCAGGAGACACCAGCTCTTTTCCATCCTTCCCTGCAGACATGATCTAAGGAAAATATTTAAACTCAGAGCCTCCAAGATAATCAATTACATGCCTATATACCAGAAAAAGTCAATCAGCTTAACCCTAACCTTAGGGAAATCCCACTATCTCCACCAGCTTCCAGTGTCAATTACAAATCTACTTTCCTTGAGGATGTGGTTTTTAGTCTGTATATGTCTAACCTCCCTGGTGTTTGAGAAGAGATATAATTTCTCTAATTCTGCAAGGTACTCTGTGCAGCAGACTGCTAGGCATGCCTAATAACTTAGCAAAGGGGTACCTAAAAGAGTAAATTGGAAATGTCTATGTTCTATGAGGCCAAATAATCCTTCAAGGATTTTTGATTCTCTCAGACATCCAGACCTTTTTAGTTCTTGAGCTTTCAAAAGCTTGTCTAACATGGTTTGAAAGGTATATTACTCTGACTTAACATGCCTTTTCTTGAAATACACAGATGGTTATCCTTGATAGCAAGCTCAGAGCATAACTGCAGCAAGGCAAGCAGTATTTGTCAGTACTCCAGCAAGACTGAAGTCAAGACAAGCTATTTCTAGGCTGATATTTACTTTCTTCATTGCTGGAGAGCTTGCAGGACAAACAGAGTATATTCCCTTGCTTGCAGGTCAGGTCCAAAAGGGTCCTCATGATTTTTGCCCTTTCATTTCAGGATCTGGTTTGTAATGGAACCAATGGTTTGAGGTGTCCTGGGTTCAGCAGTAGCAGTCCTGTTTCTCTTTCGTGGTAGCTGGTGCGGTGCTGTGTTTTGACTTCCAGCCTGGGAACAGTGCTGGTGGTACCGATGTTTTCGGTTGTTGCTAAGTGATGTTTACCCTGACCAAGGACTTTGTGAGGCTCATGCTCTGCCAGGGAGGAGGGGAACCCGTGAGGAAGCAGAGACGGGGCGCCTGACCCAGGCTAGCCAAAGAGGTATTCCATACCACAGCACGTCATGCCCAGGATGTAACTGGGAGTTAGCCGGATGGGCTGGTAGACTGCGGGGTTGGAGGAGGGATGGGTTGGTGCTTGGTCAGGCTGGGGGGCGAGTTATCGGTTGGCTGGTGGTGGGGTGATGTATTCTCTTCCCTTGTTATTTCCTTTATCATTATTATTATTGGTGGTAGCAGTAGTGATTTGTGTTATACCTTAGTTACTTAACTGTTCTTATCTCAACCCGTGGGAGTTGCATTCTTTTCGATTCTCCTCTCCATCCCTTCAGGAGTAGGGGGAGGGAAAGAAGGGGGGGAGTGAGTGAACAAGTTACCTGACTGGGTTTAAACCATGACAGTTCTTTTTGGAGAATACAATACCACCGGCCAAGAAACGAGTCTCACCCAGAAGCCCGTGTCGTTCCGGATAAATTGTGGGGGTGGTGTAGCTGCTGTGCTTGGAGCTGGGGTAACCACACTGTCTGTTGCAGTCGAAGTTTGAGCAGCTGCTGTACTAGCCACTGGGGTAGCTGCGCTGTTCATTGCAGCCAAAGTTTGAGTAGTGACTGTACTTGTCACCCCCCCCAGCCCGACCAAGCACCAACCCATCCCTCCTCCAACCCCGCAGTCTACCAGCCCATCCGGCTAACTCCCAGTTACATCCTGGGCATGACGTGCTGTGGTATGGAATATCTCTTTGGCTAGGCTGGGTCAGGCGCCCCGTCTCTGCTTCCTCACGGGTTCCCCTCCTCCCTGGCAGAGCATGAGCCTCACAAAGTCCTTGGTCAGGGTAAACATCACTTAGCAACAACCGAAAACATCGGTATCACCAGCACTGTTCCCAGGCTGGAGGTCAAAACACAGCACTGGACCAGCTACCACGAAAGAGAAACACGACTGCTACTGCTGAACCCAGGACAGCGGGAATGGCATGAATCCTGGCAGCAACTGGGTAGCATTCATGTGCATTGGGATAATGCTCACTGGGTCTCAGTAGCAGAAGTGCAACCCTGCACTAGGTTGTGAATGTCTGACCTAAGGAGTAACTCCCACCACCTGCAGCAGCTGCAGGCTTTTGTATCTTCACTCTCAGCACTTTAGTCATTACCGTGCCTGCTGGTAGGGAGGAGCAGAAGAGTTCCAAGGTGTACCACTAGGTTTAAGCTCTTATAGCCAGAGTTTAGGACCTGCTCCAGCTGGGTATACTCTGAAAGTCACTGCCACTGTATTTACCTTCCACTGCTGCAGAAGGGCTGAGCTACATCATTGCCATTCAGCAAAAAAAGCATCTTTTTTTCATTCAGAGCCAAGTATCCCCCTAGTGACTATTCTTGCTGAACATGCCAGTAGCTGGGGCAAGACATGCTGAAAGTCCAACATGTCCCACCTCACTTCAGTACAACACAGCACCAAGACCTCATCCATCTATGTCCCAGACACACCACTTACCCTGTGCTGTGCTCAGCTGCACTGACACACAGGGCTGGAGCACATGCTGCAGCTGGTTGTGTTTGAGTACCCAGACTCTCCTGGAGACCCAGCTGCAGACTGTAGCCCCTCTTTATCACATAACATCCATGTTTTTTTCATATATGACCCTGAATGGCTCTCATGAGAAAAAAAAATAATTAGAAAGTCAATACAGGATGCATTTGTGAATAGAAAACAGGCTCCAGGGCACAATGTCACTGCTGCTCCCAGCAGCTCCTAAAAATGCATCGCAAAAAAAAACTCCACATGAAACTGCCTGAGTACAGAAGACATTGTTCTCTTCTGCACATCTTTTCTTCCAGACCCCTCCTGGAACCCAGCTGCTCTGCTGAACCCCTAGCCAGGGACATGGCACAGCAGCCCAGCACAAGCTGCTCTCAGTTTTCCACTGCAATTAGCATAGGTGTTGTTTATACTATTTTAGAGTGACCTAGCTCATCTGGGAAAAGCCCTTGTCTCCAATTCACTCAGAAAGACATAGTAGTTGCTTCTCTGCTCTTGGCATGAAGTGACCTTGAACATGGTTGGGATGGATGAGTCCAGGATAAATGAGAATCACTACCACCTAGGCACTGAGTATGCATAGGCTTACCACTAAAGAGCTGGAATCCTCCCCCAGAGTCCACATATAAGTCTCAGTGGCCACGTCAAAGGCTCAAGGAGATGCTTTCAAAAAAAGCCACAGATTCCCCAGAGATTGCCCAAAACCTGTAGATGGAAATGTAAAACGATCTTCTGTCAACTGACCTACATGTAAAGAATAAACACTCAAGAGACAATCGGCAGGATCAAGGCACTCTGCACACTCTCAGCCCAAACACGTGCTCTTTGCTTTAAAGATATGCAGCCAGCATGCCCCAGGAGCTCCTTGCATCTTCAGACATATGTTAACATGCCTAGAGCATATCTACACAAGCATCTAAATTCAGATAAACAGAGTGCTTTAGAAATAGATCTCCCAGTTGTTCCCATTTGCTGCATTTTGTTTCACATCACAGAGTGATCCTGAAGATCAACTAGACTGGAGGAGGCAGAGCACACCAAATGCACTCCAATCACCAACATCCAATCCTAAATGCTGGTCCTCCAAAGCAGAGCTAATCTAAAGTGAAACCCCACTGGAAATGCAGATAGCACTGATGTTATATACTCACCCCCATCTGACCTATTCCACAGAGTGCCTCCAGTTCACACCTCAGTGACACCCTCAGTGCCACTCCAGCTACACTTTGCTTCCACCCATCTGACAGCTTTCACCTGTTTCTTTTGCCTGGTGCTTAGATGATCATCCTCAGAGACAATCCCTTAGCTTTTATTGCATGCAGTTGCAACAGCTATTCAGATAGGGCCCTTAGCTCTCTCTGCCTGAAATGTCTGAATAAAATGAAATTAATTCATTGCAGTTTTTACTGCTTCCAAACTTGCTTGCTGCAGATGTTTCCCCCATTTGACCAGGAACCATTATACTCCAGTCTCAGTTGCACAAACCATTAACCCATTATGAATGGGCAATATTGGCCTATTTTGAATAGGTGGTTCTAGCTCCTCTGCCACAATAAACAATAGCAGCAAAGCTGCTTGGCACTAGCCACCTTCTGAGGGGCTATTCATATTCTGGTGTTTGTGCACACTGCATGGTTTACAACAGTGATTTTGCATTGTTTATTTTCTGTTCCTCTGCAGACAGTGGCATTGTTAAACAGCATGTGTCCAAGAGAATCCACCCTTTTCATGGGATCCCCTCCCAGCTATTACAGCACTTCCCAGAAACCTACTGAGCTATGGAATAAACAAGTCTCAATGGGGGGAACTGAGCCCACACCCGAGAAGTAGAGTGCCATGAAGCCTCCATAGCAATGAAAGTAACTTGGCCTTGCATGAAACCTTCCTTTTGCCTAATGAAAACCCTGTGTTGTCACCCTTCTTAATGAGGCTTTCTTGTCCCTTGCAGGCAAAAGATGGAATAATGGACTTCCCCCTGACTTGTTCCAGTTGTGGTATGGGCCATGAAGGAAGATGTTTTTCTCCTTCTGACCTATGAGCTTGGGCAG